CCACGACATTCTAATTTATTGAGATGCACCTGTATATATATTTTACTTGTGTATTTATTTTTTAAATAGGAGTGTCAGAGGGACGTTATGGTGATGGTGGTAATTTTCAGAGTACCACAGGTCATTGTGTTCATATGAGGGGACTGCCTTACCGGGCAACAGAACCCGATATCTACAATGTGAGTTGGGGGTGTTTGATGTACATGATTTTTATATGAAAGTTATGGTTATTTTGAAATGCATTACATTTGGATATCAAAAAATGTTTAAATTAAGTTAAACCTTTTCTGTGCAGTTTTTCTCTCCTCTGAACCCGGTGCGTGTGCATATTGAGATTGGTCCAGATGGGCGAGTAACCGGTGAGGCTGATGTGGAATTTGCGACACATGAAGATGCCGTGGCTGCAATGTCAAAGGACAAAGCAAACATGCGTAAGTTAGGTGTAACCTGACTAGAAGGAATTGCTTTTGTTATTGACATTAAATATGAGAATTTTACCAATTTTAAACCACTTTTTTCTTTTCAGAACACCGTTATGTTGAGTTGTTCTTAAACTCAACAGCAGGGGGCAGTAATGGGGGCTACGGAGGGCAGATGATGGGGGGAATGGGTAAGTATAAATAATGTGACTATATAAAGATGTTATATTAATGTCACAAAAATCAGGGCTTCTACAGTCTTAATGTCTTAATTTGGTGCTTTTATAAATGAAAGTAGTTTTTGTTTTGTTTTCCAATACAAATAGCTAACATGCTTAAATCAACATATCTTCAATTTGCATAAAGTAAATGTATGAAGTATTGTTTTCTGTGAAATTGAACAAAATTAAATTTTGAAAATTGAAATGAAAATGAACATTTTTTTGAACTGTGAAATTTTTAGTTTAAAGGGGTGATATGATGCTTTTTTAAAGATCATTATTTTGTGTATTTGGTGTAACAGAATATGTTGACATGCTTTAATGTTCAAAAAACACATAATTTTTCAAATACTGTACATTATTGTAGGTCCTCTATGCCCCGCCTCTCTCAAACGCTTCGTTTTCTACAAAGTCCCTCCTTCCGACAAGTGCAGTCTGCTCTGATTGGCCAGCTGACCCAGTGCACTGTGATTGGCCGAACACCGCAAGCACTCGTCGGAAATGTAACGCCCCTTACCATAATCGCGAGCTTCATCTTTCAAAATAAATGTAAAGACAGAGCCTGAAAGGGGAACAGAGTCGCGTGACAGACACAGTGATGAAGCTGGTATGTGTTTGTGATGTGACCCCCTCTCTCTTTCTCTCTCTCTCGCTTTCTCTCTCTCTCTCTTGCTCACTCTCTCTCTCATGCTCTCTCTTGCTCACTCTCTCTCTCATGCTCTCTCTCTCTCTCGCGCTCTCTTGCTCACTCTCTCTCTCGCGCTCTCTCTCTCGCTCTCTCGCTCTCTCTCTCACACACACACGCACACACACACACACACACACACACACGATGCGCAAAACTCC